TTCTGAAGCAAATGTCGTGGCTTTGACCATTCATAATTCTTGGGCTGTGTTTGAGACTTTCACTCCTTTCCTACAAGAACCCGAGGTACGGTTAATGTGACAGCAGTGATGAAAACAGTTTCACATTGGGGTAATCTGCCACTGCCTGCTTTAAAGCGACATAAACAGTGTGTATGTGCAGTGCTTTGTGGCACCCTCGCAACGTACACTTGACCACAAAAAGATGCGACAAAGGTTCAGTTGGGTGACCAAATAGTTTATTAAGTTGAAAAGTGATGTACACACTCTATCATGGGTTATACAACACTGTACCCTGTAAACAAATAGGTCTGCTTACAATTCTGGCCTCTAACATCTTGTATTCTTAAATTATTATATATCAAAATAAAGTTGTTTTTTCTGAACATATTCTAAGTCTTTTCTGATCAACCTTAACACAATAAATATTCAAGCTATTTGTAAAATGACTAGTTCTAGGTGACAACAGCAGACTATTAACATAACAACAGACACAAAGTGCCTTTGTTTTAAAGTGGTAAGTTCACGATGATACTCAACAGAGTGTGAAAAGGCTTTAAGAGCGTTAACATCTTAGCTTTTATTATCAAACTTTTACAGAGTTTTCAACTTCTGCATCCAATCAGCAAGCCTTGTTATTTTAACACTTATGACTCAAATATTGTATTGTAATATTAAGTTTTCCAAAAATGCGTATAATGTAGGTGTGGCTTTAATTATTATGCCTAAAAGGTTACCATGCAAACCTGTATTGTTTTCATATACAGATAAACTGGTTGGTTCGTTTACTGTATTCAGCTTCCCCTATAATGAGACCTTCATTAAAAACTATTCTTAATTTGTACCTATAATAATGTGGTTTTCTTGCAATTAATAGGCTACTTTCTAAGCATAAACTCTGCTTCACTTAAGACTAAATGTTGAATTTCAGATTGAATTAAGTTAGTGCTTGTGATACTTGAGAAATCACAGCCATTCGGGTATTTGTTACTTTGGGCTGTATTGGTATGCTGTCATGTGAGAGCCATCTCTCACACAGTAGGCCAGTAAGGTGAGGAAATAGGTGGAGTTTTCACAACGTAGTCATTTGCAATGGAGATGGATAAGCAGCACGGTTTTAGCACATATCCGCTGTAGGACCGGTTTGCTTTGAGGATGGCTCAGCTCATTCATCCCGGTCGTAAAGCCGAGCTGAGCCCTGTAGCCCAGAGCGCAGCGTTCAGCTGAGCCGTTTCCTACTCGATTCTGATGCTGATGGCCTCGTTAAGGCGACTATTGCCTCTTTTCTCTCCTGCCTGCGGGACGCCTCACCACGGCCATTTTCATGGTCACACCACCCACGGGCATCCAGAGGTGACAAACTAAACGAACCCGCGGGGGTTCCGAGGGGGAAACACTTTATTTCTTAGCGGTGGCTAGGCGTGGTGTTAAAATTCCCAAGAGCATCCAATCGCCGACTGTGATGCTGTAAGACTTGTAATATCAGATGATTAAAATATCAGGAATGAACTTTAACATATTTTTAATGATTTTTTTTGTTTGTATCATATCAAGGATTGCATGCCCAACACAGAATGCCTATAGACTCAAAGTGGCGTGAGCTACCTACTGTGTATGCTGCAGGAGTGAAAAAAGAGATAAGTCAAAAATAACACTGTGGTGATATTTGGTGATTTTTATGTGTAAAGCCCATACTTATCGATGGTTATTTAGGCTGAGAAATTACATCAAAAGTAAGATTTCAGTAATTATTTTTAATATTTGACATTTAGTTTCATGTTATGTAATTTCGTGATGGCACTCACTTTAAACTTTGGGAAATTTCAATAAAACACATAAGTGAAATAAGGAAATCTAAACATTGAGCTTTCTTAGGCCATATGCACTTCAAGACCCCCTAAGCCTGTGTGATCGCATCCTCTGGCTCCCCGCGGCGAGGGGCTCCTCTGATAGGTCCAGAGGGTTAATGGGACTGGCCTACAGGGCAGCAGTTTCCCCTCATATAAAGCCTCAACCCTTCTTATCACAGCAAACAGCCAGTAAACAAGGTTTAAGGAAGGAATGCGCTTTTACGCATGATCAGAGGCCTTTTGGTATTACGCACGGCGAAACATTAATGCAGCTTTGGCACCGAGTTTTTACGCGTTTTTGACCACTCTGCGTGTGAACATGACTCTCTCCGGTGAATTTGAGGCTCCACAACACCCTGCTTCGCTTCTAGAAGAGGATGAGATTGATATAGTGGGCGAGGACGAGCCTACCAGTGTGCGTATTTATAGAAACAAGTGCTCTACGGACCCCGGTTCCTCGGCTGAATCTGGTGCTGAATTTGACTCTTCCGAGCCAGACTCCTCGGGGGAAAGCGAGAACAGTTTCTGCGCAGACGCCCCGCTGTCCAGGAAAGCCCAGAGCAGCTCTGTGAAGCCTCCTTACTCCTACATCGCCCTCATCACCATGGCCATCCTGCAGAGCCCGGTCAAGAAGCTGACGCTCAGTGGCATCTGTGACTTCATCAGCAACAAGTTCCCCTACTACAAAGACAAGTTCCCTGCATGGCAGAACTCCATCCGGCACAACCTGTCCCTCAACGACTGTTTCATCAAGATCCCGAGGGAGCCCGGAAATCCGGGCAAAGGTAACTACTGGTCTCTGGACCCTGCCTCAGAGGACATGTTCGACAACGGCAGCTTCCTTCGACGCAGGAAGCGCTTCAAGAGAAACCAGCCCGAGTTTGGCAAAGACGGACTTGTTTTTTACTCCAACTTGAACTGCTACCGGCCATACGGGCAACCGTATTGCGTACAGGGCCAGGTAAGCCCCCCATCCGCTGCTCCTATCCGGTACATGCCTCTGCAGGAGGGCATTATGATGCCTCCCTCTTCCTATCACATTCTACCACAAACTTTGAACAGTCACGGGAACAGCAACGGGCCTAAAGACTTCAGAGCTCAGCTTTGCTCCACAGACCCTGCTGAGCCAAAGCCTCGCCTGCAGGCAAAATGCTCCTTCAGCATTGACAGCATCATGAGCAAGCCCTCTCCTTTCAGTGCACAGAACCTGAATCCACCTCGCAGCTCTCTTGGGTACGGTCACCTGATGTCTGGCCCTGCTGCCCGTTTAGTCCCCACGCTGATGCAGGCTCCATTCTGTCATCCTGCTATGCTGAGCAATGCTCCCTTGAGAAACGAGCACCTCAGACTCTCTTACCATCACTGAAGCCTCACAGTGTCTGTGTGTTCGATGCTTTGTGAAGACAAGTTGGTGTAGATTGTTTCTTAAAGAAATGTTTTAATTGCATGATATTTATGTGACAAATTCATGTCTTAAATGAAATAATTGTTAATAAGATGGTTGGTAATATATTTGTGATACATGCTGCAGTGGAAAGTGTTTTGTGTGTTTTTGTTATTAATTAACTTGTGAAAATAAATATCTGTAAAATATCTGATGTTTCATGCTCTTTTTTGGTTACTAAAAGCACTATTTTAGTTACATCATCATTGTTTGGGTCAGGCCAATGCCAAATATAAAAGTAAGAACAACAATATAACAACAGTCTAATACATTTGAAAAGCCCCTGATAAGTATTGTGTTCCATAGCATGTAGTGAAACATATATTGTATCTTCGATGATGCATAAGCTGTCAATGTACGAAAGTTAAATTCTCTGACATAATTTCACATTATCTCCAAAATATTATATGTATAAGTCCAAACTCTCAATAATTCTATATTCTCCAAGTCAAATATATTCACTTATACTGTCATTTGTTATTGATATTTAAAGATGATTAAAATTGTCAAAAATCCTGGTTAAAACACAATCAAAATGTTGTTATGGAGTTTCAACTATTGAGATAACATCTTGAAAAAATGTACGTAAAACAACATTTCTAACCAGCAGATTAAAAAGGGTCATGCCAGCTCTAAACTAATGTCCCCAAGACACTTGTTGATTTGATAAAGAATAAGAGACTGTTTCTGCATTTATTGCTCTTGATTTTAACAATAAAAGCACATACTTTTATATTAGAACTATATAATTAATACTAGAATATCTTTTAATAATTATAAATGATAGATACCAAATATCTGTTAGGTTTCTTGTTTGCTGTGGAAGGAACATATTTTTGAATGTTTAAGAGAACTTTATTTCTTCCTTTCTGTCACAAGGTGGCACTGTTTACCAGATTTTGGCTTCAACAAAGTGTCCTTCATACTTGCAGTGATGGCCTAACCCAGACGTGTAAAGGGATTTCAAACTAATACATGCAATGTCACAGATTACACTTTTGTATTTAAAAAGAATATGCCTACTAAAACGATACGGAGATAAACTTCAGAAGAGATGGAGATGTGAAACAAATTACATTTCAGTGACAATTCAAAACTTTACTATCAGGAAGTACAGGTTTGCTCATTGCGTTGTCATGCTATACTTATAAAGTCCTATGTGCCTGCCAGGCTTATATGCCTTTATACCGGGCAGTGTGGACAGCACAGACACAAACAGTGTCCGGTTGCAGACCGGTTCCAACACAATTCCCCTCTGCCATCAGTCAAATGTCTATTTTGGTCCATGGGGCTCAGCTGATTGTGGGCCTTAAGGTTCTGGCCCTCCCTGCTCTTTTTTTTCTTTAGTCAGTTGTTCAGGCTTATTAGGAAAAGAGGGAGGTCTGACAGCAGAGGAGAGTGGTGGATGTTCATTCCAGTGCTGAGGGGTGTAGCTCTGTAAGCTACAACAGAAGTCGCCGAGGTGAGTACATTTTTCTGGCTGGCTGTTTCCTGCCATCCCTGTGCGGGACTAGCCTACTGTCACCCCTCCTCGGTTGGGACACTGCACCTTCAGCCTGACAGGACCCTCAAGTGCTGTTTATTCTCCAAACTAAGACCACTTTTACTCAGTGGTCGAATATCACCAGAAGCAAACTTCAATAACCAACTTCAGGTTATTTGATCCACGTCCTCCCATCTGGAGGAGGATGGAGACGAGTCCCATCCCGGTGGTGACGGTCCAAACCGCCCCCTTCGAGGACCAGCGGCCCGGTACCAACGGGCTGCGGAGGAAGACAGCGGTGTTCGAGGGGAAGAAGAACTACCTCCAGAACTACATCCAGAGCTTGCTGTCTTCCATCGACCTGCGGGACCGGCAGGGCTGCACCATGGTGGTGGGCAGCGACGGCCGCTACTTCAGCCGGGCTGCCACCGAGGTGATCGTGCAGATGGCAGCTGCCAACGGGGTAAGCAGGGAGGGGGACTGCCCCGCTGAGACTGGATAACATGTGTTGCATTATGTCAACTTGGGTTCTGGAAACACTTCTTACAAGACCATCGTTTCAATGATATTTATTTAAGTGTTAAATACATATATTGGAGTGAAGGCTATTTTCACGTTTCAAGTAAGTAAAAATGTATGACAATACAACAAATAGTCAGTTATCAGCAAGTTAAATCCCAAATGAGATTTAAGACTAAGAACTAAGAACTGTAACTAAGAACATGGATAAATAAACTTGCCATTAATGATTTAAAAGTTGTACAGTGTTTACAAGGGTAGTATTATGACTACCTGTGTAGTAAATGTAAATCAAAACTAAATGTTATGTTAAAAATATATATATATTTCTCATCTTTACTGCACTATACGGTAAAGCTTCAGGTCTTTAAAACTATGATAATAAAAGTCTGAGAAGTGAAAATCAATACTTATGATTTGATAACAACTCATATGCACCTTAACATTGCATTTTAAATAAGGGAAGCACTGCCAAAGTCTAAACAAGAACAGTGATAAGGTGACCTAACTTCGTCTAGATTGTTGTTACACAACTTCCTAAAAACATAGTGAGAAGGACTTGTCAAAATGTATTACATATGAAGACACTACATTGCATTGGTCAACATTTGTCCAGAATTTTCATTGATCACCCCATGCTACTACTTCTTGTACACACTTGAAAGCTTTAGGTTAGGTTAAAGTAATAATGTGTGATATTAACACATGCAAACCCATCCCAAATATGTGTTTAATGTCAACAAATAAATGAAAATAGGAAGACAGAGTGAGGAAAGTCCCCACAGCTCATTTAAAATGCTGGCTCGGAAATCTCTGAGATTGGTTTGGATGAGTTTCAAAGGAAAATCTGAAGAGAATATAATGTGTTTTTCGAGATCAGTCTGTTTTTTCTGCTGTCCCGGCCAAATGTCCCTAGCTGTCGGCCTTATCAGCACTTCCATCCATCCTGCTCAGTTTTCCTGCTGACGTATGTTCCCCGTCTCGCTCTTCCTTCTCTCCAGGGCCAAACGTTATGCTTTTGGGGATCCCCTTTATATGGCATTGAACCAAAAGTCAAGATACTAGTAGCATCAGTTGCAGATAACCCACACATTATGGACTATGTTTCTACCACTAGTTATTGAATAATATCAAACATGGTGAGCAATAAGAACATTTATCATTTATGTTCTTAAATTATTACACAGAACAGGCTAAATATGTTCTGAAGAGTACATTTCTTCGGGTTGTCCCTCACTTTTCTTTACAAATACAACTTGCCGGATGTTAGGAGGATCTACTGACGTAAGGAGAATAAATTCCTCTGCAGTGAGGACACTTTTATTTAGAATAGCTGTTATGCAGGGGAATTATGGGATGCTGGTGGTATTGCCACTTTAAATGTAGCATACAAATTATAAATAAAGGGGGCAGCTCTGTTATTTTGGAACCCTCTTGGGGCAGATCATTTGCTTTTTTAAAGCTGGCTGTCATTTAGTCACCTGAATGATGAGATGCTTTGGGCCATGGTTGCCTTTAGTTCTAGTTGGACAGATTGGCTCTTGAACTTTTTCAGGTCAGTGTAGGAAAATAAATTCCACCATAGATGGGCAATTTTCCAAACATATTTACCAGCATTTATGAAACATTTGAGGCAGCCACAAAACAGAATGATCCCCAGATAGCATTACATTAGGTGACATCTGACTTTGCTTCTCTTTATAATCTGTGCTTTGCAGATTGGTCGTCTGGTTATCGGCCACAACGGCCTCCTGTCCACCCCCGCTGTTTCCTGCATCATCAGGAAGATCAAGGCCATCGGTGGGATCATCCTCACAGCTAGCCACAACCCTGGAGGCCCCAGTGGAGACTTTGGAATCAAGTTTAATGTGGCAAATGGAGGTGAGGACTGCTTGTTTAATGATTTTTCCCATAGCTTCTTCCAATGGAGAATGTACGAGTCAAATGTAGTGGTTTGAAGTCATGACCGAAATGAATGCCATTGAAAGTCATATGAATGTAAGTCTTTCTTTCTTGGGCAGGCCCGTCTACGGACACAGTGATGGAGAGGATCTGCCAGGTGAGCCGGACACTTGAGGAGTATGCCATCTGCCCTGACCTCCACATTGATCTGTCCAGGCTGGGAAGACAAGAATTTGACCTGGAGAACAAGTTCAAACCATTCAGAGGTACAACCCTCATGCACTCCTTTATTCTTTCTTTAAGGCACAAATGCATACAACCAAAACAACTTGACAAATGATCTCTTCTCTGTGTCTCTAGTGGAGATTGTTGACTCAGTTGAGGTGTATCTACAGCTGCTGAGAAACATCTTTGACTTCAGTGCCATTAAAAGTCTTCTCACAGGACCAGATCAGCTCAAGATACACATAGATGCCATGAACGGAGGTGAGAGAGTTCATCATCTATCGTATGTAACCCCTTTAGTATTGTCAATGTTATTGAAGAATAAACTGTTGCTGTCTTTTCTCCTCTCCTCGCCTTCCCTGATGTATTGTTCTAGTGATGGGCCCTTATATACGTAGGATCCTGTGTGAAGAGTTGGGAGCTCCGGCTAACTCTGCTGTCAACTGTGTCCCTCTGGAGGACTTTGGGGGCCGACCCCCGGAGCCCAACCTGATCTACGCCACCTCTCTGGTAGAAGCCATGAAAGGAGGGGACTTGGGCTTTGGAGCTGCATTTGACGCGGATGGGGTAAGACATCTGATGATAAGCATTTGTTAAATCCACTTGTATTCTCTTTGTATGAAAAAGTGTGATAAGGGTGGTAAATATGCCTCAAGCCATAAAGCAATACCTTTTTGTTACTCTTAATTTTCTATGTGGAGTTTGATAACATTTGGTGGTTTAGCTTTGTTTACAAATATTAGTAGGTAATTGATTTGTGCTAAATAAATGACCTTACATGCCGTTGCATATCCTGGTTTAGGTCACTAATGTTCAGATTTGTTTTCACCGATTAAGACTGAATTAATGAAGTTAGGCTCCACCCATAGATACAAGAGAGCGAATTATTTATTTTGTATTTGTTTTTGCTCATTGATAACAGGAAGACAAGCAATGGGGGTTGAATAATACTGTATCCATGATGATCCAACAAGCAGCTCACTTTTTCCACAATGTCATCCAATAGTCATTTCTAACACACACACACACACACACACACACACACGCACGCACACGCACACGCGCACACGCACACACTTTGCAGAGTAAATTAGTCAAGAGAATTGCGTCATATCTGCTCTGTTTCTCCCACCAGGATCGGTCGCTGTTTAATAATACTGTAACCAATATTATACACAAACTCTAAAAGGACATTTTGATTGTTGGCAAAAAGAACCTTGTTTTTCACTTTTATGTGACTTACTGCTTTTATGTCAACCCAAACGTTCTGCTGAATTTGATATATTATATGTTTAATCATTTGGGGAACATTGGAAGTCTGTGGCACCGAGAAGCAAGTTATTAGTAGGTTTAGTCTGATTGCAATTCGAAATGTATGACTCATCTCACATTGTACCATATTGTGCTGCTTTCAGGACCGGTATATGATCCTGGGAGAAAACGGCTTCTTTGTGAACCCATCGGACTCTGTGGCCATCATGGCTGCCAACCTGTCCTCCATCCCTTACTTCAGACAGCTGGGAGTCAAGGGCTTTGCCAGGAGTATGGCCACCAGCACCGCCCTCGACAGGTACAACACACACTTGCACACACTCTCAGGAGTCAATCTGAGGAGTTCAAGGGGAAGAGGGACTGGAGATTGATATACAGCCGTTTATAGGGCAAACTGACCAAGGTTTCTATGCTGTTTTTCTTTATCAAAGTCAAAGACGACAGAGACATAAAACAACAATTTAAAGTCAGCCAAGATCACTTACCAGATCAGCTTCATGCACTACAATCGCATCAGAAACAATGCACACAAATATATCTCTAAAGTTACAAACACAGCAGTGCAAAAAGTAAAACTACTGCATCAATCAAATGCCATAAATTAGAGGAACCACACCATAGGGACATTTCCTCATGTTGACACATCCTGGGACGCTACAGTTTATGTTTTTGAAATCTGTCACATCACCTCGATCTCTCTAGAAAAACTCCTCAAGCAGCCCAATCTCTAGAGAGGGGCCACACTTTCAGATTAAGACTCACCCTCTATGAATAAGACTGTGAGGTCACAACCCCCCTCACACACATTTACTCACCACCTATAAATATTGTCTGTTATGTAAGACTAGAGACGAGCACCGGGTGCTGAGTGAAAGGATGTGATCATTGCTAAAGTCACCCTCATTAACATTGTTCCAGTAGGAGGGATCCCAGCAGTGACACACAATGAACGTAACGCCGCCCCATAGAAGTGTGTCATTCAGTACAAGAATGAACCAGAAAAAATCTACTCTAGTTGGTATTGAAGATAGATTATGTTTTTCTCCATGAATGATCATCAGTCCTTCAAACCTATTCATATATGTAATAATTCCCTGACTTTACCAAAAACAAATGTATTGTCCTAGTAAAAAAAGATGTTCAGTGCTTTACTTGCTTTTTTTTGCTTTTTTCGAAACATATATTTTTCAATTAATAGAGGTTATGTTAGGTTAACGCTATAGTTTGGTTAATGCCACTAAAACGTTAATGTATATTATATTTCAGATGTATGTTTTTGTACACTTTAATCCCAGAGACAACTGTAGTAAAAATGTGTAGCTGTCAGCTCATTCATCACAGTATCCTTGATCCCTGGAAGACAGACGGGCATTGGAGTCTGTCATATGGTCTTTTTTAAGAATCCCAAAGAGGGAGGCCTCATGGTTAAATAACTAAAATGTCAATATTGACTGATGGATCCGAAACATTCTCTTCCACATCCTTGCTGTTTGATGCATTATAAGAGCATCACATATTTGTCAGTATTGGTATAGCCAACACATTGCTCGCCATAAGAGTTGTGAACAGGATTCATAGGTTGACATATGTCTGTTTGTGTGTGAGAGTGCGAGTGCATGAATTGGTATGTCAGCACAATCAGACATCAAGGAAGTGACCTCACTGCTAATCATGGTCTCTCTGGGTTTCACAGCTACAAGAGAGAGATTCTGCTTAGATATGTGAGTGTTACATCACTGGATTACTGGTTATCATTTTAGAGTAGAGACTCGCACGCACGCATGTACACATACACATACAAACACTTCAGACTCCTCTTTGCCTGAAGCACACACACAGTCTATTGTCTATTGTCTCAATATTTGGTGTTTTGTATTAATGATAGCATTAATTTAATTTCCTTGAAACTTAGTTGTAAGATCTCCTGAGAAATGGAAATGACTCTTTACAAAATGATTACAGATAATACCTAAACCACAGACAATATCATGCTCTGGGCTCTCTGAAAAACTTGGTCAGAAATACATTGTCTCTGTCAAACCATATTTCACTGGCGCACTCTAGGGAATGCAAAGCACCTACAGGACAGGGTCACTTTGTTCAGCTTCATATCCCCTACCTAATTCCCTGAATGTAACACTTCTTTCTCTGGATGGGAAATATACATATCTGCAGTGTTGAAGTACTGAGTAGTGTGTTCTTGGACCCTGGACTGAGCCCAAGTGTAGGCCTTTTTAGGGGAGTTAGGACCTGTGTGTGTGTGTCTGCATGAGTGTTTAGACTGAGCAACCCTCCCTGCTGTCTGTTTATGCATAGTCGAGCAAACTGTGTTATTAAAGCCTTGATAAATGTGACGGTGTATATACTGTATGTAGTTGTGTGTATTCGGAGGGGAGTAAGGTAAAACGACAGAGAGAATGTGTTTGAGTTCAGATTTACATGAGTTACAGGTGTCAAATGTGTCGGAGAGGTCCGTCTGTCTGCTTTTATGTACTGTATGTGTTTCTCTCACATATTACAAATAAGGCTGATGAATAGAGGGAGGGGACGGAGGAAGAGAGAGTGGAAGGGAAATATTGGTAAAGGAAACATCTGCCTCTCCTTTAACCGTTCTAGAGGATGTAAGGAGAAGAGAGGCTGACCCTCTTGTTAGCCAGGGTGAGGTCCCAGTTATTGTACCGACTATCTGATTAGCAGAGGGAAGTAGAAGGGTTACATGTTAAAGAGGACATGTCATGACAAAAATAACTTGTCCTGGTGCAATGTGCACATAGATGTCTGTAGTGTCTACCAAACAAAAACAGAAAAAAAAAAACAATCCTGTCTGTTTTTGTGGGCTACCTCCCTTAGAAATGATGGGATTAAACAAGCTATTCAGACTTGGTTCCCTTCCTACAATGCATGCATGAGCATTTAAATATGGCGCCCCTCTTCTAAGTATTTCAAGAAACTACAGAACTACCTTTTGAAATTATTCTCGCAAGCCAACCAGAGCAGACTGAGCCTTTTCTAGAAGAGACAGGTATCTACAGGTATATTCAGACAGGAGGACAAATGTGTATTTTGAACACCACAATTAGTTTACATGATGTATTAGAAACCTGAAATACAGGTATAAACCTAAAAAAAGAGTATTATATGTCTCCTTTAGATGTTGTGGCTCAAATTGGTTCTTTATTTTTTTTTCATCCATTTCTTTAGTTGTTAGGATGACCAAGGCAATCCAAATATTATATTGTCTCACAGCTGCCAATGCTTAAGCCATTTTAAGTGCTACTACCACAGGCTGTGCTTTTTGTGGATTCATTTTAATCCTACGCACCCCTTGAGTATTGTGGTATTTGTATCATGTTTTCATAATGTTTTGCTGGAAAAATAGCAAAAGAATAAACACAAACAATTGGCACAGATGTTGAAGCTTGCAACATGAAGTAATTGCCCTATTATAGACCCGTGGCCCAATTTAGGTCCACAGCCCCATCAGAAGAAGTCAACTACAGATACCCCCCTACTCATCCATTATGTCATTTAAAGTCCCAAACTGGATGACTGTTTTCAGTGGGTTTGGTTTTTGCATTCTGCTTTCTGCCTTCAACCAAGTGTCCATTGTTTTTAGCTTTTTTAAACTTCTGTGCTTGCTAAATTGTCATGACAACCTGTGGGGTCGAAGGAGTGCAGTCCGTCTGTCATAGCCTACTAGTTTATTTGACAATAAATACATACTTGCATTATTTTGTAATCCTGTTTGTGTATTAGTTTTACCTTTTCGAGACCTAAACCTCCTTAAAGAAATACAACCTGACTGATACTGCTATTTTGGATTGAATTGTTATAGTGTACTTTGGGATGGATTATAGGCATTTTCACTTTTACAGCAGACCATATCAGACCAATTTGGTAGGACTGTGTGTTACCATGTAAAGTTTCCAAGACTTAGTACATTTGTGGAGCTGTGAAAAAAAACAAAGAAATGCTAATAAAACCTACTAGAGAAATATGTGAAATGCTGTCATCAGGCTTAAATGTGGTATTATACACAAGTATTTTGATAGAGAACAATTTGCAGAATCTAGCCAAATCAAACATTGACCCAGCAAGCACGCTTCTCAGTCTGACAGTTATTATGAAAAATATATATTTTGACACAGTTTTTGAAATTATGTCTCAAAAGTATTTTGATACTAATCCCAAAAAACAGTGTAGGTAACAGTTTTGACCATTTACAGAAATCATCTCAATTTTAATTTGCATTCTTCATTTTGAAGGAATTTTCCGAGTTGGCCACCAAGGCAACATCTTTAGTGTTTTACATGTCTGCGTTGTCGAGATAGGGGTTCTAGTTAAGGTCAAGAAGAACATTTCAAGACCAAGTAAAGCCCCAGCATGCTAGGCTTTTTGTCTGAATACCATTCTTAAGCTGGTAATTCCGGGATGAGCTCTCTTCAAAAGAAGCTGTGAGGAGAGAGGCCGCTGGACGCTATGTTTGGTGAAATATCGAGTCAAGGCCGAAAGCTGTCAGTATTTCAGTCCGCAGATGTAGAGATTTTCATACCTCACATTACTGCTTAATATTTCTTGATGCATGAGAGAGATACAAAGATAGAGCTAGAGAGAAAACGAGGGAGGGTATTGCTTTAACGTGTGTGTTTATTGACAGTGAAGCCATACTGTAAGTGTGTGGATCAGTTCGTGTGTTTATAATCCTGGGAGCCCAGAGAGTGAGTGAGTTGGAGGGAAGCTGAGCGTTGTTATAAAATATCTGACTGCTTTTTACATTAAGGGGTCAAAGGATTATAATGATGGACCTTTTCTGCCTCTGTTCAATTGAATTTCAACTACAGACAGGATGGGTATTTTTATTTATTTTTTCATTGTAGCCTCATTTCTTGCTGTAGTATTCTCCAGCATGAGAAAGGTTGCACCAGCAATCTTGCAATATGTAGGCCTATGTGTATTCAATATAAACTGTATTGCACTGCTGGAACAGTTCATCATTTTATGAAACCATTTACTTTTTGAAATTCTAAAAATTACTTAAAATCTATAAAAATTAACTGGCACTTTTAATTACGATTACAATGATATTGATATGTATTCTACCACACACTCAAACTTACATGCTAACTTACATAAGTTATTTTGATCTATCAATGAAATGTGTGGCTACTGACTTCTTTGAAGTCTGACAACATAATTATCCTGCAGGTATAGTCCAGCTTCCACACATAGTCAATCCTTATATTCAGAACAAAAACATATTTAAAAAAATCAATACAATATTTATGTTTCTGCCTTCAAGCTGCATGAATAAGTAACTTGAGCACACATTGACTCTGTATACTAAGTCTGCCTGTTTCTAGTGTATGATAATGGACATTGATAAAGCCTTACAGTAAAGTGGTCACACCTAAACAAGGGGGATAGCAGCCCTAAACAGAAACTTCCTTATTGTGTCTCCAAAAATACTCATCTGCCAGAGATAAGCAGCATCAACCGAGCCATGGTTTGATTATGATGATAGTTTTATGTATTGTTTGACTTCAAGAAGTTTTTACTAATGAATCTAAATGAGAATGAAAAGGGATTGTTGATTAGGCCTGTTTCCCTGAGTGTGTGTCTGTACATCAAGGCTATGTCTGAGTATGAGTGGGCTTTCCACCCCAGTGGTGATGCTGTTGTCCAGGTAAGGCCCACCTGGGCAATTATCAAACTTGGGCAAACCTATTTTGCACTATTTTCACACTGTTGAGTTCCTGCATTTTGCAACAAAAACAGCGCTGCTAGGGGTCGTGCTTATGTTGGCTGCGTACGTGCCGTTTGACAAGTCAAAGGCTTGTCAGAAGGCCAGAGTTTCTGTTTTCATTTAGGAATGCCAGGCTTTCCGTTCCAGCTCTGGCTTCCCCAGAGGGGAATAAAGCTAGTTACTCTTTTTGGTAAATTATCCCATCCTCATGTAAACAACTGTGCTGGGCACTGTGAAGTTTATTTATGTGCATGATGATTGGGTGGATTTGTACGACCACTTTAAAACTCTGAAATCTACCCACATCCTCATATATTGTAACAGCATCCCACAGTATAAGCTTATGAGTTTGACAATTCATGTTTATTTCTGAAGGAACAACAATTGTTTATTGAATTTAATATTTATTTCGGCATTTCGTGGACCTGGGAGTTGTGTTTACATGTTGCAGTGGTTACTGAGGAGGTGTGGTTGAGGAGTGAAATGTTTGGAATGAGAAGGGCACTGTTTCGCCGTTAGAAACTAAATATCTCGGGGTGGTAACTTCATAAAACATTATTCAAGAGGTTTTCTGAGTCCTTCTCCATCTTTTTGCTATCACATTTCTCACTAAGTTCTAGGACACAATGGACCAATGTTTTAGAAATATGCAGATAATGAGTCCAATATCCCCTGCTGAACCACACCCCACTTTTTAAACTTCTAAATATCTGAACTCATAGAAGTTTAAAAACTCTATCAATGCTTTCTTTCCACACTGTCAAAAATGTAATTCTTGAACATTATATAAGCAATATTTTATTTTTACTGTTATTAAATCTAACAAATGGTAGGATTTTAACTTGCATTAAGTGGTTGTTTGACCACTGTACGACTGGTAGGCAGAAAAAAGGTTGTACAAACCAACACAAACCTTGTCTGCATGGTATATCAGAGCTTTTGTTCGCTGAGAACAGCTGCCTGCTGCTAGAAACTATGCTATGAGAGCATTAAGAGTGAACCGAAAAATGTGCGGGTTGTAAAATCAGCACAATGAGATGAGAGTTGCTGAAATGCTCTGTAGAGCTGAGGGAGAGGCAGATAGGAGTGATAATGGTCTGTGGGTTCAACACTACAAGTGACTTCTCTCACATACTAGTCTCTATTGTTGTTCAAATGTTGATTATGGCACCTTCAAAGATACTGCTCCTCAAAAGCTGACTCATATGTTATGACTGAATGTAAATTGCCATAATTATAATGATAGTTAGTTTACAATATGGACAGAAAACCCCATGAACAGCTTTTTAGTTGATACTAGCTAGAAGACGGGGTGGTCGCATGTCTAAGTATTCTGATCTGTTTGATTTGAATTGAGGCTAATTTATTCTCATGTTATTTTATTTTAGGTTTTGTCGACATGTGTCAACCCTATTCTAAAATATATTCGATCATGTTACTAATAATTCCATTGTATAAAGCCAGTTACTTTTCTGCTCATTTAAAAAAAGAAGTTGTATTAGTCTTTTTCTTTGCCCTTTTCCCCTCTAGTCTGTTTCTTTGCACTCACCTCTCCTTCCACATATTGTACTGACTTCATCTTTGTCCCTCCCTAGGACTTAAACACACACACACACACACACACACACACACACACACACACACACACACACACACACACACACACACACACACACACACACACACACACACACACGCACACGCTCTCCTTCATGGCTCGGATTCAAAGCAAACATCAGCTAAAAGGTTAACTCACTTTCTTCTCGCTGCCTTTGCCTTATTAAGTTATTGGATGAGCTGCTGGCAGATGAGGCTTGTCATACAACATTTGGTTTGCTTTATTTCAAAGGTCAGATCATGATTTGTAAGTTTATCTCTATATCATAACTGAGAAAGGCTGGCGGGACATATTAGAGAGAGATAAATCCATTGTATTCTTGTGAGCATAGAGTAATAGCTTTGTTTCTCTTTGTGTCTCTGTTTATTTGCAGGGTAGCCAAAGCCATGAAACTGGCGCTGTATGAGACTCCCACAGGCTGGAGGTACTTTGGGAACCTGATGGATACTGGGCGTTGTTCCCTCTGCGGGGAGGAGAGCTTTGGGACAGGTACTATCCCTCATGCTACAGCACACAATCCAAACTACTTCACTCATCATACTCAATGTCATCAATACAGAAATCAGATGAATAGATACATAGCAGAAGCAGCCTTTTACCGTGTGAAGAGAAGGAAACTGATGTTAAGCTTGGGAAATATGAGTGGGTGGGTGACACGGAAATACCCTCCTCTCAGCAGCAACTGTTGTTGAGGTGCCTGCAAGGCCAGGACTGCACTGGCCAGCTGCTGCTGACAAATACAAAAGTGTCCAGTAAAACTCTGTAAATTCAATTGAAATTGTAGAAGTTGGCAGCTATTAACCTTCATTTGACTAACCTAGGCTTTTAAAAAAAACGTTATCATCCGTTGACTACTTGTATTTGTTGCCACGTACCTGGCAATAAACTTGATTCTGAAAAAGGATCTAATTGTTTAGGAAATCAGCATTTCCTTTTAGATTTTCTCAAAATGTCCCTTTTCCTTTCTCTTCCTCACACACTCCCCTGCCTGTTTCATGTCCAGAGTTGTTAGCAGTGCATCCAGTCAGACTTGTATAATAGATGTGAGGGCTGTGACCCTGACTGCATGTGTAAATAATCTCCATTCTTCTGCTATAAAAGGAGACAGGGCTCCCTGAATCACTGCAACATGGAGACAGGCCTCCAGTGGCAATGTTGTCTATGAATGCAAACGCAGATACACACATACGTGGTCAGAAAATATAAACAATAAGCATGCACAAAAAATGCACACACATCTGCTTTTGCCCTCCCTCTACATTCTTTCCACATTTTATTTTCCTCTGCCCTTGTTTCACTTTCTCCCTACATCCTACAAAGCTAATTTAATTTTAGTTTTATCCCTCTCATTCGATTTTTCTTGGTTTAATTGAAGATGTTATCTTAAGCTCTACGTGAGAAGAAACATAAAAGTAGGTATGAAAAGAAGAGAGAAGAGAAGCTTGTAGGAAAGAAGGAGTTGGGAGAGTTTAAACATGAGAAGTATTGACATGGTGGAGAGAAATAAAGAGAGCAGACATGCGAGAGAACAGAGGACTGCGAGAGCTTACTCGTTGTCTACCCATGTAAGGATAAAAGCTCAGTGAGAGCCCAGAGCAGTAAATCATCAGAGCTGTACTCCACTCCTGCTCTTACTACCTCTCATACACATATTCTGTCCAGCACAGCCTTAGCTATTGCAAGTGAAGATTTAACCAGTTCTGTAACACTTTATGTAGTTGTTCTATTGTTACTTTGATTGTATTTCACTGGTTTGCAGATTGATAAGGCCATTGTCAGAACTTTAAAGTTATTGCTCACAACACGCAGTTAAATGCCATCTGAAAAAAAAGACTCATTTGCATTCTCCCAAGACACAATTGGGCTCTGCTGAGGAAAAGAATGAATAGGCACAAAGCTAAACGGGTCAAGAAAGTATGTAGGCAAACAAATAATAGTTGTGTATTACATTTTTATTTATTTTTTTAAAGCAAACCGGTCTCCCTAAAACAAATGGGATATCCATAGCTTCGACATCAGCAACCTCCTTTTTTCACGATCAAAGCATAGCTAGCAGGATAGAGAAAAGGGGTATACTTATGTTTTATTTCACACTGTAGTTGGAGGTCTGAATTTGGTTTGGTGGCATAATAAATATTCCAGTTCCACTGTGTCTCTCTCTGTGTCTGAGAGTGAGACACAGGGAGACAGACAGTAAGACGGGGATTCAATAATGACAACTGTCAGCTTCCTAACAGCCGCATTAAGCTAGAGCCGGACACAGATCTTAGAAGTATGCTTCTTGTTCTTAGTGTTCAGTGTAGAAGATAAAACAAAGAAAGGTGAATGCAATAAAACAGAATGGAAAATAATAAATATACCTTCATGCTTGTCTATATAAAATAAACAGCAAAGTAAATGTCCTGCTCAAAACTCTGGTAGTGAGACATGTGCCCGCTTACAGATAACTTTACTGGTCAGCTGTTTTCCAAAACAGGCAAATAGCTCCCCAGTGAAGGTGGCAGATCAAGGGTGTGAACTACTGTGGTGTGTGTGTGTGTGTGTGTGTGTGTGTGTGTGTGTGTGTGTGTGTGTGTGTGTGTGTGTGTGTGTGTGTGTGTGTGTGTGTGTGTGTGTGTGTGTGTGTGTGTGTGTGTGTGTGTGTGTGTGTGTGTGTGTGTGTGGTGTGGGTGTGGGTGTGTGTGGGTGTGTGGGGGGGGTGTGGGTGGGTGTGTGTGTTGTGTGTATTTCAGGGTGGGGAGCAGCAGACAATATTTGTGTGGGGATGTTTGGTTCGTCTCCAAGACCGAGCACTCTCCTTGACCTTCTGTTACATAGAGTGGAGTTGAATACTTAGATATAAGTTGTGTTTCACCATCATTATAACAACACCATCTTTTAAAAACCCCAGCATTTTTAAATATGGCTCAGTAATTAGTGGAATATTTCTCTTGACCAGCCTTTTGAAGAAACGTTACTCTTCCAGTTGTTTGTTCTTTCTTTGACACTTACATACGCTTTAAGTTATCTTGCAGACAATAACAAATATACAGGCCACCTGACAGAACCTCCAAAGCCCACTAACAATTACATCATGTGCCACTTGTTTCCTTCCTCCTCCAGGTTCAGACCACATTCGTGAGAAAGATGGACTGTGGTCGGTGTTGATGTGGTTGTCCATCATGGCCGCCAGGAAACAAAGTGTTGAGCAGATCGTCAAAGAACACTGGGCCAAATTTGGACGTAACTACTTCTGCAGGTAATCTGCAAAATAATCTTTGAACTAAAGCTGTGACTTCATAAGTATGTCTTCAGTCAGGTTCATTTGGTTAATCATTCATCTCTTTATTGGTGTACACATGTTTCAATCTTGAAGCTACTTTTTCTGGATTGAATAATGATTGAATTTCAACCAGCACCGGGATTGACTTCCCTTTTCCCAAAAGTCTGAATTCCTAGGATCCCTACCAAAGCCAGATATGTCTCCCAGGGCTTCACCTTCATCCATTTCTCCTCCAGGCCTCCTCACTGGTTGTCACTTGTTCTTATTTTAACCTCTCCCTTGTGAGAGGCACAGATAGTTGCTGCAGTCAATGTTCCCACTGACAGTTGCTGCAGCATTTCATGTTCCCACAGAGCTCTTTCCTAATTTCATGTAGATGTTCCCACAGCTTGTAGATGGAGAGGCCAACCAGGCCAGGCCAAGTACCATATCCTTCAAAAGAGAACCCTAAAACACAAACATCTTTCATCATTCTGAGGAACATCCACCGATCACCCTGACAAATCTTAAGCAAAACATTGCTATTAAAATGTATATTTATCCCAAGTAAATGATTTCCGTGAAAGCTTTTCCCCTTAATGCTTTTCTAATGCCAATCTTCTGTGTGTGTAAGTAGGCCAATGTTTCTGAGCATTTATGCTTTGGTGCTTCTCAGGTTTGACTATGAAGGCCTGGAACCACGTGCAGCCTTTTACTTGATGAGGGACCTGGAGTCAGTAATGTCAGACAAAGCATTCACCAGCCAGAAGTTTGCTGTGGGAGACCACGTCTACAGCGTGGAGAGGGCCGACAACTTTGAATACATCGACCCCGTGGACGGAAACGTGGCTCGAAACCAGGTCAGTCTGAGTTAAGAGTACAACAAGGAAAACAAAAACAAAAGTGGTATATAGGATATAGAAAATGCTAAGAAATTAAAGGAGTTGAAAATAAGTAGTAATTTCCCTAATCCTCCCACTAACACCTGGAACAAATGTGTTACATTGATATTTCAATACACAAAACAATAATATTGCAGATTGTTGTTTTTATTGAATTGTTAAGATTTGAAGAAGAGGATAGCAGTGTGGTGCTGTATGCTGTATCATATTATGAAACATGATGAAGCCATACATTCAAACCAGTCCATTTGATCATCTGGTTAACATTTAGTTCATGTTGCTCATGTGATCATGTTAAGTTCTTGGATTTCTGTCAGTTACTTAAGAGCTGAAGAAATTTAGGTGATAGCTAACCGGAAAATGAAGAACGTGGGGTTCAAGTCAGGTCTAACTGAAGCCACCTTTAACATGCACACACACTCACACCAACACCTTCTCTGTTGTCTCTTTAACCGTATGCACTCTCTCATCTGCCAGCAAGACCACCCACTCAGCTTCAATGTCTTCTCATTAGAGAGGTTCCATGTTTGGACATAACTTTCTATTCGAACCATAAACAAATGCATACACAGACACATTACATACAGGACATATCCTTACACACACACACACGCACGCACGCACGCACGCACGCACGCACGCACGCACGCACGCACGCACGCACGCACGCACACATGCACGCACACACACACACACACACACACATACACATACACTGATAAGTCCCTCGGTCAGTATACCCTCCCGGTCTTCTCCCTCCCTCATTCTTTGTGAAGTCTACCCAGCTGACTCCCTCTGTTCTGTCCAGAAATGTGTGGACTCATTCCAAGCTTCCTGGCGTCAACACTTCTTAGCCTGCGCCCCATCTATTACAACATATACACACCAGTGTTGGGCAAGTTACTTCCAAAATGTAATATATTACATATGACTTATTACTGTCTTTTGAAAGTAATAAGTTACATTACAATATTACTGTCTCTGAAATGTAATGAGTTACACTACTTTAGTTACTTTTTAGTTACTTTCACAAAAATAACCACAAAAGAATGGCTAGGTATTTTAAATGCTAAAATGTAGTTTAGTGCAGCTCATTATACTGGATGTGAAGGGCAATGTGGTATAGCATAACAACTGTGTAGGCCCTTAAGGCTACTAACAACTTGTATTATACTCGATTCTGATTGTAAATTCTTAACATGTGACACGTTGATAATACAGACCACTGTCAAGGACTATAATGAAGGTGGCTAAGGAGGATCCAGAAAGAGAAAGGAAAAGAGGTTAAAAGACGGAGTGCTGGACGTCAGATTACATTACATGTTACTTGTTAGACACTTTTATCCAAAGCGACTTACATACTCAATACTGTGGGCAATCCCCACAGGAGCAATTAGGGGTGAAGTGTCTTGCCCAGGGACACAACGACATGCTGACTACAGTGGGGTTTGAACCTGTGCTCCCCTGATCCGAACACCAACGCACTAGTCCACTACGCCACACGCCTCCCACTCAGATAAATCACCAGGAGAAGGCAGACAGGAAGTAAACACTAACAGGACACGGAATGGGCTCTGTATTTTGTTCAGTATATGGCCGTGTACAGGCCCGGTTCCAGAACAAAATGACTCAGGGTGCCTCTGAGATTACAGGGGGCACAGCAGTAGTAGGTTTACATGAACAATAGTGGCCGGCAACAGCAATGAAAAATAGCATTGATGGTCCCCAATGAACAGATTATGGCATTTGCTATGTTTTGAAACCAAGCAAGTGAGAACATTTCAAGTGAGTTAAAAGTGCAATCCTGAAATATTTCATACAGTCCAAAGTGGACTATGGCAAAGAAAAGCACAACAGCTTCAAAACTGTACTGATAACACAAATGAGAACATATTGTAAATCAAGGCACATATTATTTAAACCAGCTCATGGTTTGAAATGGCAAACATTGAAAAGCAAAAGTATTATTAAAACCATGTACTAAATCATCACTTTGGTCCCATCATATAGCCTCCTCTGGGAAGAGTACATTTACTGTGCTTGAAAACTGGTATCACATCATGTGACTTTGTGACCTGGAGAACATTTCAGCTGCAACATTAGCTCGTTGATGTATGTAAGCTTGGGATATGAGATCTTTTTGTAGCCATTCGTGGTGAAGGCATCTGTGCTATTGTATGCATTATTTTTGACCCAACATTTCTACAGGCATGGCAGAATATGGCCCTATTTTCACATGAATATTCTAGCCCTTGTCTATTTTTATACCACGACCTGCAAAATGACCGCCTAACCCCACTGTACATGCGGGTACTTGTTTAGATACCTGGGCGCTGGGCAGGCTCGGTTTTGCCGTGGTATCCTGGCACCTGCGGGCCGCAGAGGGGCGACGTAGTTTCGGGCAACGAAGACTGCTGCTTCGGGGGCGAGGGCGGCGAGAGTCAGGCGGGAGTAGGCTAGTGTCCACAACGGAGGGTAACGTGATGTCCCCATCTGACCTGTTGCTACTGTCTGCAGTAGATGCAGTGTTGCTGGTGTTTAGGATGGTTGCTTTAACCATTTTCGTATAAATGATGATTACCCACAGATGTGTGTCACTCACTTCTGTGGAAGCACTTTGGAAATGATGCACGCGCACCTGACACAATTTGTTGTTTGTATTTTTTGCTCCGAACATAACATTCAACTGCCCCGAAGATCCCGATGCCAAGCCTAAAGGGTAAACACCAGGTTTACTAATCTACCCGCACAATAATTTGTCTCTGGTGTCGGAATGTCTCGCTATGTTAGTAGCCTACATTCAGGGCCGCCCCTGGCCAACTTGGGGCCCCAAGCGACATTGTGAGATGAGGCCCCCCCCCCAACCGACAGTTGTTTTTGGAAACAAAGTAGGCTACTTTGCAAATATAATTCCTGTTTATTATTATTATTATCAACACAGTTACTTTGTATACAGTGAGGTAAATGGTAAATGTGCATGTATGTCGTTCAGTATGCGTTTACAGGTGAATACTTCTACTAATAATAATCATAATCAATTCAATAATATAAATATATTATTTTATTATAATATAGTTGTAATATAGTCAAGACAAAACATGCTTATGACATGCTCAAAAACTGATATTTCTTAAATCTGTATTCTAGTTCCCTCTGTCAGCAATGTATCAACAACTACACACACATTGCTATCAGTATTTCTCTGTGTTGTGGTTGACATGATGATGACTGTTAGGAGTAAAAGTTTACTTTTTATTCATGTATTTTTTCTTTTAATGTTTCTTGTATTATATTTTACTGTTTTTAAATGCCTTTGTCTGAATGTCTTTCATTTTTGTAAAGCACCTTGAATTGCCTTGTGTTGAAAGGTGCTATATAAATAAACTTGCCTTGCCTTGCCTTAAGGGGAGAGGCTGAGCATCACCACGAAATGTGCAAATTGACATACAAATTTATAAAAGGGGGAAAAATGCTCCATGATTTTTAGGCTGCAAACTTTAACTGTTATGTAAGCCAACTAGACAGACAGTGTATCACTCTTCCTCCTGTACATCAGCAGATAAAAGGCATAACATACTTGAATGAATGTTAAATAAAGAATGCTGGAAATAACTGCATCTCCATTAGCCTGTATGCTCTGCAGAGACTGCCTTCTTCATGTCGTGAATTGCAGCTGATGTTTTAATATGGCAATTGGCAATTTGACTTATACAACATTCGCAAGTTGTACATTTGACAATAACCCACCTTCGAGTGATGCTCTAGTTTCTTCAAGTTTTGTTTTTTTCCCCCTCTTGCTTGCCCCCGGACTGAAACTGTCTTTTCACCGACATCTCTTCACCTGCACTAGTGGCCGTATCAAAGCCGTGATTGGTCAGATGTCGATTCATTGCAACGGTGTCGGATTACAGACGTGCTCCCCTTGTCACCTCTCACTCTCGCGGGGGGTGCGCATGGATGTATAATAAGGGGGGTGCACGGAGAACTGAGCGGAGAACTGCGCACAGCAGCTGAGGCCCTCTGGGCGGGGCCCCCTGCGCAAGGCAGGGCCCCATGCAGCCTGCGTGATTGGCCTGTAGGGAGGGGCGGCCCTGCCTACATTCAACAAAACACCATTTCATTTCGGGTTAAAATGTGTTGTAACTGCGTTACTGGGCATTGTAACGGGTAATATATTACCCAAATTTCATTAGTAATGCGTTACATTACTTCGTTACAGCAAAAAGTAATATATTACTGTAACTCCGTTACTTTTGTAACGCGTTACACCCAACACTGATACACACACACACACACACACACACACACACACACACACACACACACACACACACACACACACACACACACACACACACACACACACACTGTAAACTCTGGTGTGAGTACTGTCCGTCATTCCAGTTGTCCCTGTACATAGGTGTCGACCATACACTTGCATGGCCTTCACATGTTCACACTTTTATCAAGGTTGTGCCCGCAATTTGTCTGACAACTTAACCTTATGTGTCTTAAAGTCTCACTGTCCCACTGGAAATACTTCTCTGTGTTACCATGGTTACAGCAGCTCCACAGCTAGTTACTCAGTCACCCCAAAATGCGATTTAACCTCAGTGGTAAACCCTCAGCATCCAGTCGCCCCAGTGTGTGTTATTACAGCACACATTCCTCTCTGGACAGAATTATATCAGCTGTCGTCTCACTCGCAGTGTCTCCCCTGCAAGTGTGTTTGAAGGAGGGGAGAGTTGACACACACACACCCCCCACACACACACATACATACACACACACACACACACACACACACACACACACACACACACACACACACACACACACACACACACAAGAAAAGACGAAGCATGGGGGATTCACACAGCAGTGGCATGGCAGCCTTTTTTAGTCGAGTACTGACTTTATTCTACATTGTTTCATATATATCTTACACATCGAACAGACAGCTAGACAGACACACAGACAAGTTGGAGATTCCAGAAAACAGTCTTTCCCTCAAAGTTGATGGTGTAGGTTTTAAGGAGCATAACATCAGTTAAGATGTAATGGGTGATTTCAACATATTTACCAAGACAAAGTTACATTAAACAGGTCATTAAACATTTGACCTAGGGTAAAAACATAGCTGAGAACATAACATTATAAAAGGTCCTTAATGTTCCACATTTAGATAATATTTAGCTAGGTAACATATGAACCTGGGAACATACAGCAGATACCAGTCCCTTGCCAAATGTATGACTATTCGACCCAGAATATTGTATTTCAATGGCATCCTAATTAGTAACCTTCATTGAGTTAATGTGTTGCCTCTACATAGCTGAATTATTGCCAAGGAGGAAATGATCCACAACCTCCAGTGAAACAAAAATGTAGTGCCTTATTTTATGTGTTGGTTCATATTTGTTTCAGGTACAGTGGCTGGTACACGCTCCACTGAGGGCCTCTGAACTTTGTATCTCACATTGTTTCTAACAGGCATTAGTCAGACTCCTGATAACTGCTCCTCTATTGTTAGAGATGAGCTGACACTCACAAATAGAAAGACAGACAGACAGGCGGACGGACATCTTTCATTATCACTGGCTCCTCACCCCGACTCTGACATGTTACACTCCCGAGCCAAACTCAGATTAGGAGGGGGGTGAGGGGTTTACTCTACTTTTATTATCTCTGTCCATAAACTACAAGCTGGGTCACAGTTTGGAGAGGTACTAGGATAAGGTCACTGTCATACTTGGACAGTGCACCAGAATGTTTTAACTCCTATAATAGTACAAAACTTCTGTTGTACATTTAAAATAAACTATGCATCATTTGTCAATAACAAGACATGATATACTTTTTTTTAGCCATGATGAAAATGAATGACCGCACTACTTTAGATAACTACCAAGTGATGATCCTGTAGTGTCGAGGGTTTGTTTTATGGAAACTATTCGCACATTAAGCCTATCTATGCTGCTGTCTCTCCCCTGAGCTTCTAATGGAATAAGGGAAGAGGCACTGTGGAATTTAGGACAGATAAGTCATCACAGATCCATTAGTCAGAGAGTCTTATCTTCCTTATGTCAGCCAGCAACAGTTGTCGTTGGTTACCCCAATACATCAATATCCTGTTTTTCCTGAGAATGTTGAGGTTAAATTGAAATGCTAAAGAGAACTGTTAACACTTTCAAGTTCATGTAGCCAACACTGAAGTACTGAAGTGGTTATGACCTCACATAACTTTACAATACTAGCATGTTCCTGTAAAAGGTATCCAAGTTGAACACATTTACAACAAATCACACGATGACATCTAGTGGGTGTTTGTAGCTATTGCACCTTAAAAAGCAGTTTTTATGACTTAACCATTAATGTTCTATAATGCCTGTATTCACAATTTGCATGACTGGAAAAAAAACTATATTTAGGTTCCCTATAATACTGGAGTATTTACACTTTTAATATGTGATAGTCTGACACTCAAAATGATTGATATGGTTTGATGCAGCTCATCAGGGTTTTTATTTTAGTAGAGTAAAGTTGTACATTACGTTTGGTATGCAATGCCAAAAGGGCTATTTTATGGATCTATAAATCATGTTGACAATTTATCAAGCAGATGTAACATGCACTGAATACTTTGGTAGAGGTTGTTCTTAATTGTTATTTGTTACAGCAATTATTGAGTTTAATCGTCACCTATTATGCAAAATCCACTTGTTCATGTCTTTTAAACATAAACACGTGTCCCCTCTGTGTGAAGAGATTCTGAAAGTTTCAGAAAAAAAGATGATCTCACTTTTTGTCCTGATCCATTTATATAAACACCTGTCTGGAAATGAGCTGATCAGATTTTGGCCACTTTGTGATGTCATAGCGATGTTTTGGCTTGTGTAAACATTAGCCAATAACCAACCAAGGTAACCCCCCCCCCCCCACCTGATCACCTGAATCTCCTCCTAGAGCACCATTGTGTTCTTTTTAACCAAATATCTCTCAGAGGGGCGTAGGGAGGGGCTCCTTATTTTCATCTAAAGTAACAGACAGAGAATCAGCACTTTGGAAACAGGGCTAAAACAGAGGGCATTATGGGATGCTGCAATGCATGATCTGTTTGGTATTTCAAGCCAAACACTTCAGAGACATGTTTTGTATATATCTGAGACCTATTATATTATTGATGAAAAACAGTATAATAGGGGACCTTTAAACAGCATTTTTTAATTGTGTTGGTCATTGGTCTAAGACAGGGGTGTCAAACTCAAATACGCAGTGGGCCAAAATAAAAAAATCGGTACTAGTCGAGGGCCGGACTGGTTCAATTTGTATTGCAAAACGGATTGAAATTAACTTTTTACACATATTAAACCTGGAACTAACAAAGCTTAAATGACTGCCTATAAAAACAACATTAAACATTAAATAATCAGTTGCATTCATTTCTTATGGCTCTATCTGCAGCTTTTCCGGAATTATTTCTTATGATTACATTTTTCCACAGGCCAACAACAGCTTAAAAAAACAATTTCCCTCAAAGAAAAAAACAAACATGCCTTGTTGTGCAGAAGGAAACATCCATTTAAACTGAGTTTGCTGCTATGATGCTAGTTCAAGCCAGATACTTGGCATCTCGTCATGGGTGCAAGTTCATCAATGTTTGGAGTCAGGCTCTGAGCTGAGGAAGGTGTGCGTGCAATATACCGGTGGGCCAGATATGGGGCGAAGCCTGCGAGCTAGTTCAGGCAGTCAACTTGAGCACTTATGCTGCATTCATACATAACGCCCCCTTGCCACTCTACAACCAACCAAACAGAGTCTCCTTAATATGCCGCTCTATTTAACCTGCAGATCTCTCTCCATGCATTGCTTGCTGCTGCTATTGCTGCAGCTACTTCCACGTCGCTGCTGCTTACCTGCCCCACCACCACCCCAGCTACCACCCCAGCTTTTACCTGTAGGCTCGGCGGTTAGTTATTTAATCATCACTCATCGTGCTATGTATATCTGTGGAGAGATGATGCCCGAGCCTAGTCGCCAAACTCAACTATATGCTGCTTCTAATAAACATGTTAAAGGAACACGTGAGTAGTCTGACTGAACTAATAGTAATTAAAAATGATCCTGTGGGCCGAAATTAAATCCACCAAGGGCCTGATTTGGCCCCCGGGCCTTGAGTTTGACATATGTGGTCTAAGAGAAGTAAGTAAGTCACTTAATTACAAATAACATAACTTGTGAAATTGTAAACATAGTTTTTTCTGATTCTAGGGCTTAAGGATCGTCTTCACGGATGCTTCCCGCCTGGTGTTTCGGATGAGTGGGAGCGGTGGAGGGACGGGGGCCACCGTCCGCGTCTATGCAGAGAGCTTCGAGAGAGACCCTGAGAGACACAACAGAGAGACACAGGTAGAAGGACAATAATATGACCCTAAATCCTCTTCCCAAAATGACTCTTGCCATTTTTCATTCAGATATACCACTTTATTGACTTATATCGGACATAAGTATAACAGGATAGACATCATTGTGCATACAAATGTTTAATAGCGCTGTCAGCCGTTTGCAACATAAAGGCACTAGTAAGCCCACATTTAAAAATGAGACAGGCTTCTGAGCTGGCATAATTTAAGAACGTTGTTGCCTTTCTTTCTTTCATGCTATACATTTCCCTTCATATCTTCTTTTGTTTTGTATTCACCTCCCCAGCAGCCACTTGAGTTAAAGGGGAATTCTGATCTGTTGAGTTTTGATAACACCAAGCAGAAAACACTCTGAAATGTCATTTCGTGATCATGTGCCATGCAGCTTCATGTGATACTGTTGAAGCTAATTGACCTGTAGACTTTGGAGAGATTAGGAACACTAGCTTTTTGTGTGGTTATGAATGTTGGGATAGGTGTTTTACTTTAACCATACCCAGGGGTTGTAAAGGTGCAGTTATGATGGCTAGACTGCCTCATTTAGAATTGACCACATAACCTCACAGCTTTATCAAACAATGTCTGCTAACTGAGGTTAAACCCCTCCTCCATTTTGTGCAATTCTTTCCAACATCTACAATTCAAAAGACTACATTCACGCAATAGCAGTTGGTGTAAGCTATTATTTAATCTTTATTTAAGTACAATAACTTAAAACACATGGGACAGCCTATTATTCTCTTTGATATATAGGCAACTTGAATAAAAAATGTATATATCAATGTTTTCCAACTTATAACTTCAGGATCCACCCATGAGGCATGCACCATCTATTGATAAGTAATACATAGAAATACCTGAATGAGTTTAGTTTATATATTGGAGTCAATTAAACTGTGCTGTTGCTTTGGCACTGTCATAATATTTTCCTTGTGCCTATTGTGTGATCTACACTTAACCCTTGAACAATCTGCAATTGGATCATAAATGTAATGTTGAATCATTCTGCCCTTTTACCTGATGCACATAAATCACAAGACATGACACGAGTCATTACTATTGATACAAAAACACAACCCTGTGCGATTAAAGGTTAAAAAACGGAAAACTCCTGAGTCATGTCATACAAGTTTTGAGCAATTTTGGCGACGTGCAGCAAGTAATTTAAAGACATGTTTTAAATGTTTCAAGATATTAAGCTGCACATCGCCAAGATGATACACCTGTCATGAAACATGTCCTCATATCTTATTTCTTTATTGCACCAATGTGTTCACTTTGTACATGATTAATGAAAGTAACAACAGCTGGTTAACATACGGAACTAGGCTCTGTGAAATTATCTGGAAGCGCATGTTGACTCGGTTTGTCTTTTTAGAAGTTCAAAGTAAAACTCTGTTATCTGCTCTGGAATCTGTTTAGCTATCATTCCTTCTGCATCGTGTTTTTAGACCAAAGCTGACATGTTGATATATCTGCCATATATGAGACGTTATGCACAATGAAAGAAAGATGAGGTTGAGGTTGTGTATTTAGTTATTCACTACTATGAATTGGTGTAAGATCAATGCTCCTATAGCCAAAGCCTCATAGTTATTTGTTCAATTTGCTGTGCTAGGGATTCCTTTCATATCTTTTTGGAATATAAAGGAAAGTGTTGGAATGTCAATTGATATCATACAACATGTAGTGATTCAATGTCTGCGATTGAACACATTTAAAATACATAAAAAATGCCTTTGATTATTACAAAATTAGTTAAAGGTGCAACACAATACAGCATATTCACAGAAGCAGTAAACAAAACAACAGTGACACTTCATTAAAAAGTCTAATTATCATTGTTAAACATGTATTCTGATATGTTCCTCTCTGCAGGTGGTGCTCGGTCCTCTCATTGCCATCGCTCTGAAGATCTCCAACGTCCATGAGAGGACCGGGCGCCGTGGTCCTAACGTCATCACATGAGCAACCCGGAAAACTCACAATCACATGCACGCACACTGCTCACACAGACATAACACATTTTCCTGTACCCTCTGCCATTTTCAAAATTCCTTTTTGTGTAGCTTCATAGTCATTTGTATTCTTTAAATGAAACTTGATGGGGTTATATCGCTAAAAAAGCACAATGTTTTCTCAATTGTTTATAGACCACTAACATATGTCAGCCATAGAAAACACCAGTCTAAACCAGGGAGGTTCTTTCATTATTACCATGAATAAATAATGAAAATTAGCAAACAGAAAACCTTTATGATTGTGCAGACTTACTGTTAATGTTTGTAACTTGCAGTTGAAAAGACTTCTTGGCTAAGGGCAGCCTTAGATCAGTTTTTTAATTCACCATGCTGTTTTTGTATAAAAGTGCTGTGTTCACTTGTCATTTAGCTTGTATATCTGTCCTGTCATATTATGTCATTTTCTTTAACCATTTCATGCAGAAATAATCACTTGTCTAAGTGTAAAATAAAACATGTCAAGCATAAAACCTAATATATTAGTGAATTGATTTGCAATTAGTTTATGTTTGATATAAAATAACGTGAATGCATATCTTGCTCGATGAAGAAGCGGGAAGATGTTAGACTATTCAAAATGTAAGATAACCAAGTGAGCCCAAAGGCGATGAAAAAAAAAATATATATTTGAAATATTTTTGCTAATCTGGCATTATTTTAAATGTATCAGTTTATGCCTTTTGGGAATGCTGTATAACCATATTTGAATATATAAATTCCTTTCTTTTTTAATCCAAATAAACTTTTTTTGTGTGTAGCATGCATCTTTTTTTAAAGGAATCGGACAGGTTTAATGGTGACAAATACAAATAAATCAGTGTGAGATATGATGCCTTTTGGGATTTTAACTAAACATAGTCTTTATAAGCACCATGTTTTGATGATATATCATGCAGTAATTGAACGTCCTTGAGGAAAAGGAAGCTTTTGTTTGTCGAACACAGCACCTGCTTTTGAGCCGAGTGTGAACGTGTTGTGTTGAGATAAGAAATAAAGAGGGCTGATCTTTAAATGGCCTGAATGAGACGCAGAGAGCAGGAACTCATAAACACACTGATTGCCGTCATTATGGGTCGAGGATATGCCAGTGGATATCCGCAAGGAAACGTTCACTCAGTCAGCCATTACAGCTTATTGCCCCATCCAACAGTTTTATATTGTCAGGATTATTCCTGAGGATCGATGCCAGTTCATCACCTTTGAATGTGTCACTATGAAGACGTTACGCTGTAGCTGGAATGTGTTAGAAACGAGTCTCTAATTGGCAGGGGCATGATTACATGGATACAGTCCTTTAAAGTACGTGGCAATTGAAATGCTGCCAACAACCCCCCCCCCCCTCTCTTATTTATAGTAGCCTATGCATGAACATGAACAAGCTGTGAAGGTGCAGAACATTGTTATCTTTACTACGCTGAACTTTTCAACTAAGGTACAGGTGGTGCTTTAGAGAGAACCTGTAATCTATTAAAACTGTTTCTTTGAAAATATCAAAGTCAAGCACATTTACCACACATTCTGCACAGACTGAAAAGTCTTGTTTGCTTCGCACGTCTGTGGGAAAACTCCTGTTTTATAGTTGCAAACCGGTTGTCTGTCCCTGACGTGTAGTGATGGGAACGAAACTCTTCATGTTTTCTGTTCCAGCCAAGAATCTACAATTTATTGTAGATTTAACTTTGATTTACATTGACATTATATCAGGCAGACTGGTGACAACATTTACTTTTAAATGATTCTTTATGAACAATTATTAATCAAAACTTGTCTTGAGGAAGGGGAGAATAAATTATCATTATTCATATATAGGCCTATTATAAAAAATAAGTCTAGCATAGGTCGGCAATATATTGAGAAACAAATATATTTTATACAAGCAGTCCTCAGCTTCCTTACAAACAGTTGTATTATTCTTGTAATCATTTAAAAGTATACACATTGAAGCTACAGTGCAGGTAAAAGTCAGTGCTGTTTGTCAATTCAGACATCCATGGATCCAACTGCATAAATACTGTCCTCGGTTATTTGTCACACCACCAAGCAGCAACTCCAATGTGCAGCTCATCCTTACTTTAGGAAACCAGAGACTCGAAACAGAATCACCTGTTAGTGCTCTGCAGAAACAGACCTGCAACTCTGTGTAGGGTCAGCAGAGACTTCAGAAGTTGGGTGTAGACTGATGGCCCAAAGGTGGTATCAACGTGTCTCGGAGTTTCTTCTAGAACGTTCTCTCTCGTCCCAATCAGGAAATAATGTCTATCTCCATTCCTGCATTTCTCCCTAGCCAGTTAGATAAAAACATTTCTTCTCTTCAGTGCTCGGCCACGGTCTCCCTCTGCCCCCCTGCGTCCCCCTCCCCCTGCTGAGTACGCTCCACCTGACTGTATGTAGGAGGCAGCTCCCTGCTCCACCTGCAGTCTGGAGGGTCCGAGCTGTCCTGGCTGTACAGAGGGGGGGCGAGGCTCATCACCACCTCCACCCCGTCAACCACAACAACAAACTCCGGCGCTGAATCAGGACCCTCCTGGCTGCCCTGGGACTCCTCGTAGGATGGAGGGAAGGAACTTGGTCTACAGGGGAAACACGTATAAGACATCAGCGGCATTATTGAAGTTTGGTTTTAATAATACATTTGAAAGCTCATTGATTAGCAGACAAAAGAACAGTGAATTTAGAGTAGCAGGATACATTTGATCTGTTTCATCTGGCCAGATGTAATATAAAACACACTATAAATATATAATAATAGTTAAAAAGACATTTGGGATACATAATCAACAAACAGTATGTAAGAAATGTTATTAGTATTGACAAAAAGCAAACATTTATATAGTGTAAAACCATGCAGTCTACTGGAATGGAAGAGTGACTTTACTTGATAGGTTTGATGTGTTTTTTAACAGTTACAGTACATATTTTACAATTGGGTATACTTGAGGGTTTACCTTAGTAAAATGTACTCATTGTGCATTCAAAGGTCCATGTCTAATGCAGTACATAATTATAATTTTGGATTTAATTTAAAAACTATTGGTTGGCTTGTTTTATCTACAGTAAAGGATCATACAAATATTGCCCTTTTTTTGTTCAGCTGCATGACAACTTCTTAACTAGCTTGTTATTCTTAAGAAGTTAGACGAATATTTTAATCTGAAAAGGGTACATTTCATCACAAACATTAAAAATCACCACATCCTTGAGATGTTTTTCCATTGACAGGATAGGAATGAAATATAAATAAATGTACTTTCACTAGCCCAAATATTAAGACTAAAGGTTGCCATTTTTCTCAAATGAATTTGAATGTTTTAAGATATTTCTTTTTCCATAAAGGCCGCTTTGTTGCTCTGAAATTTCATTGAAAGTAAATAGGCCATTGACATTTGTTGTTGTTGTGTGTCTGTAGCTGCAGGGTAGGAGTCTCACCTCTGGAGAGTGTAGACCTCCATGTGCTGTTCATGTCCTCCTCTCTGGTAAATCTTGCTCTTCATGCTGTGGCAGATGCTCCAGAAGACTCCGATGAGCACAGCTAGGATTCCCAACAAAATCATGATGTAGGCAAGCATGACCCTCACGGTGTACTTGTACTCGATCTGCAGGGGCACCAGGTAGGCCCCGATGCAGGTCAGCACACACCCCACAGCGAGCAGGGCCATGCGGGCCAGGGACCACAGCTGCTTCCTCACATCTGTTATCATTTTAGCCCAATTCTTGCTTCTCTTTTGAAGTGTTCAGGATCCCTGTTCTTCTTTTTCCTGTCTTCTGATGGAGAGATACACTGATGGCAGGCGGGAGGTTTTGTGGTTTAATCTCCTTAGTACCTGTTCAGGGTTTAAAAAGTTCAACCTGGAGTAAATCCTCCTACCAAGTTTGAGTACCAACAAGTTGTTGTTGAAGCTGTCTGAGAAAATGTCTTTGCCTCTCCAGACATGAGGGGAGGCGGCTGGGATGTTCCTGCCTCCTCGGTTGTATATTAACACAGGCTGATAGTTGATTCGGCAACAGGATGACCATAGATTGAACTTCATTATAGAGCTTTGTGTATTTAAATCTCTTCCTTTTGCGTGGTGAAATAATTTTAAATCATTATTCGTTTATGGTTGAATAAAATATGCTTGGTGCCATATTGACTGTGTTTATGCACACAATTGATGTAAAATATATTTATGATGCTGCAATCAGGAATGAAATGATTAACATCCATGTCAAAGTCTTTCAGTAATGTCAAACGTTTCAAATCTATAACTCAACCTCACTGCCAACTACTATAACGAGCCATATTATAAATAGACCAACAACTCCAGTGGAACATTTTGTTTGCATTATCTCATATTGGTATTATTCCACTGCACACACTGGACTAATTCTAACTTTAAAAAAACAACCAAAACAATACAATTAAATTGATTTCAAGCAGGTGTATGAACATCCAAGTAGGGAAATTCCTTTTTAATTTAATGGATGGTCTTTAGTCATGTCGGCCAGCTGATAAAATGTAGCTGTGTTGCACAACATGTCTCTTTGGCCCAGCACAGTGGATTGGATACAACATTTGTTAGCATGTGTAACATCTCTAAATGCCCTGCATGTTGTTTTGCCTTGATGCTTATACCAAGCTGTAATGTTTAAACTTATTTACAGTTTATAGTATGACTTCCTTGTTACATAAAGCTGAGTAATAAAAGAAGGGGTTGAAGGGCCACACCTGGTGCTGAAAATGTTTACCATGAAGACACTTGTTGATCTTTTCTTGATCATCCTCCTAAGTGTAGGTTTTGCATACATTTATATGCACATGGACTGTATAGGTTTTGTTGTGCTGCATAGGCTGCTTCGAGTGTTGTTTTATCATGGAATATACTACAACATTTACTGTACAAACGTTGATAATCATTTGCTTTTTGTTTTGTGGATTGTTCTCTAAATGTACACACATCTTAAGCTTTGCAAAGGCGGATAGCATGCAGACAGTATTTAAACAATGTAAAGAAATTGTAAATGCAAAAGAAAATATATAATTATATTCTGATTCATGACATATGCAACTCTTTTTCCTTTAGTTTTTTGCTCTTTGCACCTGGCTCATATAGGTCAGCATTATCATAACTCATCATTTAATAGGGCTTTATTATGAGTAGGCCAATCTTAGCTGGCATTATTAATGAAAATGAATGCTTGTTGTGAATGCAGCACATTCATTTGAGCTCTTATTGGCACTCTGAGAGTTTAATGGTTTTATGGGCCTTATCAGTGTTATCAATGTGGAGTTAATCCTCTGAGCTCAGCTTGGGTAGTATCTAGAAATGGCTCCACAGCGTTTCTTTTTCGACAGGACACCCTTGTGTCTGATGCCCATGTGAGATAGAAAATTGGCTTCCTAATTGGCAGAAATTACCAAGTAATGTGTGTTAATAGTGGCACTTATAACTGTTAAGTTGATTATAGATCTTTGTGGCTGCACATTCAGCAG